TTCTTTACTTTCATTTTTTTTTTTTTTTTAAACATATAAAACCTTCATGTTGCCCATCAAGAGCTCACAAGACGTGGCCTCTGAGAGTCTCTGCTCTATGGTCTTAACACTCTTCCAGTTCCTGCAAATCCTAGAACCTGGCTATATGGCAGCAAAAGAGGAAGTACTGGGCTCAGCAGGAAAGTGCGACAAAGTGGGAGTGGATTGTGTTATGCTAAGTCGGCATTCTGGTGTTTCCTGCTGAAGCACAGGATTCCATGGGTGGCAGCTGACGGTGATTTGCTGGCACATACAGCACTGAGCTCCTTTTGTCTGCTTGGCCCTAACTCAACCATGCCTTGATTCACAAAAGGATGCCAAGAAGAGGCTATTCAGGAAGGTGCTAAGCAAACTTTGGAATTAAAGGGGAGTTTTGCATCCCACATTCTTAAGTGTATTAATGGTTTGGGACTAAAAGGGAGAAGACAAGTGCAGAGGCCACAGTTCGCTGGGACCTCCATGGGCTGTCATTTATTGGGGGTACATTTTGGGAGAAGGGAGACTTTCTGCCTTTCACTGCCTTTATTCTTTCCCGTTCTGATCCTGTTGCAAACTCTTTTCTGAACTTTTGATAAGAGAGGCAATCAATCTTATCAAGAATGTTTTTTTTTTTTGGCCGAAACCGGTTTGGCTCAGTGGTAGAGCGTCGGTCTGCGGACTGAAAGGTCCCTGGTTCGATTCCGGTCAGGGGCATGTACGTTGGTTGCGGGCACATCCCTGGTAGGGGTTGTGCAAGAGGCAGCTCGTCGATGTTTCTCTCTCATTGACGTTTCTAGCTCTCTATCCCTCTCCCTTCCTCTCTGTAAAAAATCAATAAAATATATTTAAAAAAAAAAAGAATGTTTTTTTTTGTTTTTTTTGTTTCGTTTAATCTGGACACTATCTCTCATGGATAGAAGTTGAGACTAGGTCTTGCCAGCCCTCACCAAGAACTGTGGTAAGATGAAACTGAGTCCCTGTGGAAGAAGCAGCAGGTAGTTAAAAAAAAAAAAAAAAGGAGGTAGGAGGAAACCAAGGGAGAAGAGGCTTTGGGTGCCCATCAGATCTGGATGGACTGAATGTGGCCAGAAGAGAACTTTCCAGAGAGCCGTGATCCATCTTCTGGACTCTGAGGGTATTCATGTGAGATTGAAACTCTTTGGAGCACAAATGTTGATGTTCCCTAAGTCTATCTCGGAACCCAGCTTTCTTTTCCAATGTTTAGTCCTAATATTTAATGAGTGTCTTTCATCTGATGTCTCAGAGGGACTTCAAACTCAGTGTGACTCATCCTGAACCTGCCATGTCCCCTCCCCGAGCGGCTCCTCTCCCAGGACCCCCACCTCTGTGTTTGGCACTGTCACCCAGCCCTTTGCTCGAGTCAGAAAATGGGAGTTATCCTTGACATCATCTCTTCTCTTACCAACATCCCCCTCTCATATCCAAAAGATGTCATTCTGTTACTTCAGCTTCCCACGTACCAATGGAAGCTGCGCACTTCCCT